ATAATCGGCAAAAATTACGCCAATTAGTATAACGAAAATCACGTGGTCCAATACTTTTGACCGGGGAGTGTACATTGTTTCAAATGTAAACTGAAATGTGACGGATATAGGAAATAAATGAATCTATACTAATTTCGATGTTTATCTCGCAACCTTCATTGGTATAATTGGTCAATTGCTATTTGAAGAGCTAAACCTAAATCATAACTTTTTCCTCGACGAAAATCATCAATAAAGTTCTAAACTAATTTAATCGAACTATAGCAGGTGTCCGCTACAAAAAATTATTTTGTGCGCCAAATTGGATAAAGCTAATATTTTCTTAATGCTCTCACAGTTTAGAGGATTGCTAACCACGGCATATTTTCAAACAGTTATGACTATAGGCTGAGATTCCAACTTGGCTTAGCCTTCACACGTGTATTACTTTGCGACATAGCTTGTCACCGATGTTGATGCCAAATTTGTGGTGTCAAGTGCAATAGGGTTTCTGCTTTTGAGATATCGTCTAACTTCACCAGATCACGGTAGTAAGCTCTAACAACATATTATTTTCCCTGGGCCTTAGCCCAGTTTTTTAATTATATATTTTGGTAGTTGATCATAATTAAAAAAATCATCTATGAATAAGAAATACAATCGAAGGTTAATTTGCCTAACAAAGAATTAACTTCTTTGTAGTTTTTATATCATCAAAGGCAAATAGACCCGAATGTAAAGTACAACAAAAAGCTAATATTTCAAATATTTCATCATTTGTAAAGATGACCATTTTTTTTTTTTTACCATGGAAAGAGTAAATAGTACAAATGATTTGGAATCGCTTAAATGAGGGGATCGACTATTTGCTTTGAACATTTTATAAGCACAAAAGTAGTATCTTATTATTTTTCCGTTAATTTCGAGAATTATTATAAAAAATTTAATTAATGCATTATTGCAGCTAATATATATATTTATTTATATTATTTCTTGACAAAAATGAGATCATCCTTCGGTTAGAGACGCGGGCTAAAAATTTTATTGAAGGAAAATGCGTCCAAGTCATATATAGTCTTGATCTAAAAATTTTCTAAATTTTGACATTCTATTTTGCAGGTTTCATTTAAATTTGGTTGGTATTTCATATATTAAAAAAATTAACACTTGAATTCATGATACATAAAGGCAACCACTCGTTGAAGTATCTTTTATATATTATAAGAAATGTCACTTTTAATTTTTAAGCATCAAACAACATACCAGCAAATTACAGGTGAAACAACATATTCTTCGTCAATCTTTTCCTGTCTAACACCAAAAAAACCCGCAACGATGCTCAATCTGAAATGCTTCCCCATATCCAATTCAAATGAAACATTCAACAATCCAGAAGGTATATGGGTAGGAAAAATAGAATTATCCGTTAATTTACATTTTGAGGAATTATATGGAAACAAAGCTGATATCCATCCATCCCAGCGAAACTCTATGAAACTAACGTAAGGAACCTGGGAAACAGCTATGCTCCAAAAGTTTTCGTCAACATCTCCTTAATAAGTTGCAACAAATTGAGCGACTACTGGTTATAATCTATCCAACCAAAATCAAGTTCCAATCCTAAATCACGGAGTTTTAAGACTTTTTCTTGAAGATGTAACCAATCTTCCAACATACCGTCAAGGTAACCTTTGAAATACCACAACCACCAGCCAATCTGTGCCGAAAATACTTTTTCATCGCATCTATTAATATAATTTCGCTAACGGTTACGGATACATTGGTTGAGGTAGAAAAATCACATTCGAGAAGTTGTTTTAAACCAACTTTTTGATTAGTTTATCTATAGAACTGAAAGCCGAGATTATAGAATTTGGATTTAAGTCCGAATTTTGCACGTAATCAAATGAAAAGGCACGTAATTTGCTTGTATTGGTACTTTGAGTAAAATAGGATTTAATATCTCCATGATTAAGGAATTCATTTTTTGGGTCAATTGTATCAGTTAATATTCGGTACTTCGTGGCGAATTCATTTTTATTACTTCAAAATTAAATAAGACTTTTGGGTATTTAATTTCTTTCTTACAAATCAAGAATCATGATCATGGAATGGTTGTAAAGGGATAAAATTTCTGCGCCGCAGAAAATTAACATCATTTTTACGTGAGAATTACTTTTTTTTTTTTTTTTTTTTTTTGCGTAAAAATTCTTAAACTGTAAATTTTTCGCAATCAATTAAATATTTAATGTAAAATCATTACCTTTATGGAATGATGTTAATTTTATGAGCCAATTCAGACTTTTACCGTCATTCGACAATTTTGTTTTATTAAAAAATCATTTAAAACTGCCCCATTAACTAAATAAATAGGTTGAAATTATTTTTTTAGATTTCTCACTAAATTAGATCCCTTTAATGAAACTATAGTGAGCGGCCACTGTAATGGTTCAAATTTTTGGAATTTCAACGTTCCATCGAAGATTTTATAGAAAATGGAAGGAATGGTCGCTATCAAGCCGCTGTTCCAGCCTAGATGTGGTTTTGATGTAGCTTTTTGCTGGACCCAAGTGGAATAATGTGATCGCATCTATTACAAATCTGAATGTTACTGTAATTGCTAATAATACCAAGAAACTCAAACTTTCAAGCTTCCACGGAGGGAATAAGATCCCAGCATTTGGTGGGCCAAGTTCAACTTTGCCTGTGCTGTTAATGCTTGAAAATTCAAATGAAATTATTCTGTCCGAGATTTAAATATCACTTGATATTTCGAGAAGAAAACTTGATACTATATTTAAAGGATCTAGGACCGATGGAGAAAACCATAAAATTTTACAATTCATCCTTTTGTTGACAATCATATTATGACCAATCATTGTACAGGATATACTTGTTAAGTCGGTCATATTTTTTGATCAAACAATGTTACACAAGATTTCCTAATTTGTTAATTACTGTTCATTTGAGAATTTTTTATTTTCGATATACTGTACATTCATAGCCACAATTATTAAACAGATTGTTATAAATCTTATTGGAACATCGTTATTATTCAGGAACATGGACAAACAAGCAATATGACTGCATTCACGCATATGAATGAAGCATTATAATCGCGCAAAAAAAAGCGCATGAATTTCTAAAATTATGGAGGTAAATTTTGAAGAATATAAATATGTCTCTCGTTTGCACAGTATTCAACAGGAATTATAGTAGCGGAATTAATTTAACTTAATCTATATTTAGCATTTGTATATAGTGTTTCATTGAACAGAAGCGATATTTATGTGCGATATTGCATCAAAATGAAAC